CTATATAAATATCATCACAAATTGTGTTAATGGCTTATTATGCAAAGGGGAGAAAAAAAAATATAATGTGTTTACGAACAGCTTCATTTATTCTATAAGCACGACGAACTTGTATTCATTTACGGCCATGATGAATAAGTCCCCGGAGTGGGCACAGGATAAGTGCCCGGAACATAAGAGTTACAACATTCTTGAGAAGAGGTTTAGTGACAAATTTAACATGACGTACACGGTGTATGAGCATAAGAAGGCGAAAACGCAGGTCATAGCATTGGGTTCGAACGATCCGTTGGATGTAGAACAGACTTTTGCCTTTTACGTGAAAACGTTGACACATTCGGGGAAGGGAATTCCCCACATTTTGGAACACACCGTTTTGTCCGGCTCGAAGAACTTCAATTATAAGGATTCCATGGGTCTCCTGGAAAAAGGGACGCTGAATACGCACCTAAATGCATACACGTTTAACGACCGAACTGTGTACATGGCTGGGTCGATGAACAATCGAGATTTTTTCAACATTATGGCTGTTTACATGGATAGTGTGTTCCAACCGAATGTACTGGAGAATAAATTTATTTTCCAAACGGAAGGATGGACATACGAAGTGGAGAAGCTGAAGGATGAAGAGAAAAATGCAGATGTTCCAAAAATTAAGGATTACAAAGTTTCGTACAATGGCATTGTTTACAGCGAGATGAAAGGATCCTTTAGCAGCCCCCTCCAAAATCTGCACTATGTTATAATGAAGAATACCTTTCCAGATAATGTGCACTCGAATGTCAGTGGTGGAGACCCCAAAGAGATCCCTACTTTGACCTACGAAGAGTTTAAAGAATTCTACTATAAGAATTATAACCCCAAGAAGATTAAGGTCATCTTTTTCAGCAAGAATAACCCCACCGAGTTGTTAAGTTTTGTCGACGATTATCTGAATCAGTTAGATTTTACCAAGTATAGAGATGATGCTGTGGAAGATGTAAAATATCAGCCATATAGAAAAGGGCCCTTCTACGTGAGGGAAAAATTTGCTGACCATTCTGAGGAAAAAGAAAATTTGGTTTCCATTTCGTGGTTGTTAAATCCGAAGAAAAATGACCTGTTAGATGTAGATCTCAGTTTGGAATCCCCGCATGATTATTTCGCCCTTCTGATCATAAACAATCTGCTTACCCACACGACTGAGAGTGTTCTTTACAAAGCGTTGATCGATTGCGGCTTGGGAAACACCGTCATAGATACAGGTCTAGACGACAGCCTTGTGCAGTTCGTTTTTACTATCGGCCTCAAAGGAATAAAAGAAAAAAATGAAAAGAACGTAACTCTGGACAGAGTACATTACGAGGTAGAGAACGTCGTTTTGAAAGCGTTGCAAAAAGTGGTGGATGAAGGGTTTAACAAATCTGCAGTTGAGGCTTCCATAAATAACATTGAATTTGTGTTAAAGGAGGCAAATTTGAAGACGTCCAAAAGTATAGACTACATTTTTGATATGGCATCTAGGCTAAATTATAATAGAGACCCACTTCTCATTTTCGAATTTGAGAAGTACTTGAATGTGGTTAAGGATAAGATAAAGAATGAGCCAAGATATCTGGAAAAATTTATCGAGAAGCATTTCATTAATAATGACCACAGAACGGTCATTCTCATGGAAGGTGATGAAAATTATGGAAAGGAACAGGAAGACTTAGAAAAAGAGTCCTTAAAAAAGAAAATTGAAAGTTTGACGGAAAAGGAAAGAGATGATATTATTGTCGATTTTGAGAATTTAACCAAGTACAAAAATAAAGTGGAATCACCTGAACATTTGGATAAATTCCCCATAATAAGTATTTCCGATTTGAACAAAGAAACATTAGAAATTCCAGCGAATGCTTATTTTACTACAACCCTTGAGGAAAACAACAAGGCTAAGTATAACCAAATTAAATCCAGCGAAGATATGATGAAGAAAAATATGGACCACTTGGTTAGGAAGTACATCTTGAAAGGTTCCCAAGGTGAAGCAATCACGGACGGAGCTACAAAAAAAGAGAGCGATCTTTCCGAGGGGGAAATACCAATGCTCATTTATGAAATGCCAACGAGTGGCATTCTCTACCTGCAATTCATCTTTAGTCTAGACCATCTAACACTGGAAGAGCTGAGCTACCTCAATTTGTTCAAAGTGCTCATCCTGGAGAATAAGACGAACAAGAGATCATCTGAAGAGTTCGTAATTCTGAGGGAAAAAAACATAGGAAATATTATGGCCAACGTTGCCTTGTACTCCCTCAGCGATCATCTGAAAGTTGTCAACAAATATAATGCGCGCGGATTGTTCAATTTCGAAATGCATGTGCTAAGTCATAAGTGCAATGAATCGCTCGAGATAGCATTGGAAGCACTAAAGGAGTCCGACTTTTCTAATAAGAAAAAGATAGTTGAAATTTTGAAGAGGAAAATCAATGGCATGAAAACTGTATTTAGCTCGAAAGGGTATTCCTTGCTGTTCAAATATGTGAAGTCGCAGCTGAACACCAAGTACTTTGCACACGATTTAGTCTTTGGGTATGGAAACTACCTCAAGCTTCAAGAACAGTTAAAGTTGGCTGAATCGGATTTTCCCAAATTTGAGCAAATTCTAAATAGGATAAGAAATAAAATATTCACAAAGAAGAACTTACTAATTAGCGTAACGTCAGACTCTGCTGCGCTAGATGAACTTTTTGTGAACTCGAAAGAGTCCTTCAAAAATCTACTGGGTTATTTGGAAGAGAATGACGCCAAGAACAGCGGAACGGAAACCATCGGATGGAATGAAGAAATAAAACAAAGCAAAGTTCTAGAAAAGGAAGAAAAGAAAAAAGAATTCTTTGTCATCCCAACATTTGTAAATGCTGTTTCTATGGCTGGAATTCTGTTTCATGAAAAGGAATTTTTAAACCCCTCCTTTATCGTTATCGTAGCTGCTCTGAAAAATTCCTACCTATGGGAAACCGTTAGAGGGTTAAATGGTGCATACGGCGTTTTTGCAGATATTGAGTATGATGGGTCGGTCGTATTCTTATCAGCTAGAGACCCCAATTTGGAGAAAACTCTCCAAACTTTTAGAGAATCTGCACAAGGACTCAGAAAAATGGCAGACACCATGACCCAAAATGATTTACGTAGGTACATTATCAACGCCATTGGCAATATTGATAAACCGAGAAGGGGAGTGGAACTTAGCAAATTGTCTCTTTTGAGGATTATTTCAAATGAGACGAAACAGGATCGAATTGACTTCAGAAAAAGAATCATGGAAACAAAGAAAGAAGACTTTTACAAATTTGCCGACTTGCTAGAGAAGAAAATTAACGAATTTGAAAAAAATATTGTCATTATTACGAGCAAGGAGAAGGCCAGCGAGTACTCCACCAGCGTGGACCAGGAATTCAAGCAAATACACATCCAGTGAGTTGCCTTTTGCCAAGCGAACTGGAGCGATGAGCGGCGAGCTGAGCGGGCGAGAAGAACAGGGAGAAGGGGAACCCATGGTGCGGTATTTTTTCCCTCCTGTTAACTTCTCCACGCGGTTATCATTGTGTAAATCCTATTTTAGTTACATTACTTAGCGCCTGCGCTGCGCCGACTTAGGCATTCCCCCGTGGCTTCCTCCATTTCGGCCCCCTTCGCTGGCGAAGAGCGGTGCGCCACGTTCGCTACGTATTCTGTGTAATCTTTTAAAGAAAACACGCATTTGGTTAAGCCAAATTTTGGTTTCGTAACTGGACAGGGAAAGGAACCCATTCTAAAGGAGAAGTTCTTAGGGTGTCTCCAATTTGGCGTTCCCTCCCAAGTTCATACCACGCCACTTCGAAGTTGGGGTAGATGGGCGTGACGGGCTTGTAAAACGAATTATTCATTTGGGGGAGTATCACCTGTTCATTTTGGTCGCACCGTTCTGTCACGGTTGTTTGTATCCCCTCTACAAATTCGCCACATGTCCACAGCCCCACTTTGAATATGTCTAAATTTCCGCGGAACAGACCCACGGATTAGGTGTGTCGTCTACGGGTGCGTTCATAAGAAAAGTCAGAGAGGGAATCACATGATGACGAGTGCCTGCTTTATGAAACCCCTCACCTCTGTCCCAGCGTTGCTAGAGACTTACCCCCCCTTTATAGGTGCTATATACAAACTCTATGCAGCAGACCACACTTGTGGCTATTCCGGAATATGCCCAGTTCAGCAGCCTCGTACGGGAAAGAAAATTCCCATACAATGGCCTGAAAGAGCATCCCAAGAAGTGCCAATTTTGATGGGCTCTGTGTAGGGAGAAAAAAAGAAAAACAAAAATGGGGAAAACTATCGCATTCAGAGACTTAACGTAAGCCAAGGAAAGCCTCCTCTCTGAAGTTTTCATTTTAAAAAAAAAAAAACTTCCCGTGGGGTGGATGTTATATGCATACGAAACCTACAACACATAGGTAGTTTCTCTGCGCAAAAATGGGAATGCAATCAATCTCGTTTCGGGTACATATCGTTTGGGTGAAAGTAAACTGCCAGCACTTCTACTGTTGTTGGAGTTTTAAAAATGGTATCATTTCCTTATCCTCCCAAATGATATCGCAAAATATGCAAGAAATATGCACGAAATGCGCACGAAATACTCGCCTTTTGAAAAAAAATAAAGCTGGGAGCGGGGAGATGGCGGTGCACCTACAAATTAAAAGCCTTTCCCAGTGACGTAAGGAAAACATTTCTTTCAGGTGGTTTGCGCGGAATTTCCAACTGCTTTTCCTTGGGGGGGGGATGTAAAGAATTACACGGGGCGTTTGTGTGGGAAGTTTTACGGGAGTTAAAAAAAGAAATGCTGGTAGGCACATAAATAGCGTGGCAATAACGACGCAAAGAACGTCGCAACAACGCCGTAAAAAACCTCTCAACAGCTCAATGAAAAAGTTCAGAACTTTTTTTTTATAAGTCCTCATATGAGTTATCAAGATTAAAAGTCATCAAAGAAAAAAAAGTGTGGAAAAATGCAGTAGGGGGTTATTACAAGAAAACACACAACGGTTCGTTTGGTAAGGAGAAGTTCTCTTTAATTAGATGGTGGGGAAGAGCTCATCATGGCGGTTATACTTAACCCTTGGTGTGTGTGTGTACAGATAAAGGTGTTTGCTTGTGTGGCAGATGAGAAGTTTCTATATGTGCGGGACATGCATACATACTGTGTAGGTATGGGTAAGTGTCCAGCTGTGCTAAACAAATGCCTGCTGGACAGTCGCAGGCAGGTGCACTGGTTGACACGAATTCGCACGACCTCGCGGTGATTTGTTTTTAATTCAATAAGATTGTACATATGAGCGCGTGTATGTGGATACACAAAGGCGTGCCATGCATGCTGGCACCCCTGCATGCATAAAATCGGAACGTTGAAACGGACACAAGGAAGATTTACGTCCTTAAAATCTACGTCTATCAAATATGTGCTCAGTAGAGGCGGGACAAACAAATACGTTTACATAAAAATCATCTCCACACAAGCCCTCTGCCTTTCTCTCTTGATGCCACTTAAACACTTTAAGTCTTTCCCATGTTGTTGTAATTCTTGTTGTATGATCTCTGCATGTATGGCGCCTGCTCATTATTTTTGAAAAAGTTGTAGAGGAAGTGGCCATACTGTGAGTTTAAAAAGGATTGGTGCATTTCATTCATTGGAACTCGGGAATTGAATCTGCTGTTGGGTATGGTGCTTTGGAGGGGATACATATCGGCGCTTCCGAAACTGGGTGTGTCATTTCCATGGCACGTCATGGGTGGAGGAGGTGGAGGTGGCGACGCGTAGGACTGCACCAAGTGGGAGAAAAAAAAGGGAAACCATTTATTACGTGTATAGAAGAAGTATGTACGTATGTGTATATGCAAACAGCAGGGGTGAGCTTCTCTCCACATTACGCACTAGTGGGACATATAAATGTAAACGTCTCGCACGGCGCAAAGAAAGAAAAGGAGAGAGAGAAAGAAAAAAAAAGGCACGTCTCTTTTTGCGTATGCATTTTTAAATTACATTGTTTGCCATTCGATCGAGATTTAGGTACTGTGGGGTCAAATACCTGCAAAGTTTGGGAAAAAAAAGAAATATATATACATAAATATATGTCCTGTAAAATGGGGATTGAATTAAAGACCTTACAGTGTGTATGTATGTTCGCCCCCTAACGATTCCTTCTTTTTTTTGCCGAAATGGTAACCCCATTTTGCCGCAACTAAATACTTACTGTTCCTCCCCTTTTTTTATCGAGACTTTTAAATATTTGTTTCCCGCGTTGAATCCATTCATACCGGCCACGGCATTGATGGCACTTTGCTGATTCTCGAAATTAATGAAGCCGTACCCTCTGCTCTTTCCATTCGTTTCTCTTTTTATCGTTGCACCCAAGATGTTTCCGTAGTGTGAAAAATGCTGCAAATGGGGTGGGGTCATAAACACAACAATAAACACAACAAGTGAAGTGACAAACAGTAAAAAGGAGCGAGCAATCCGAGGTGCACATTGTGTAAGAAAGCTATACATGAGCATTATTTTCGAGGAGGAGACACATTAACTGACAAATGAATAATCTGTCATGTCGTGCAAAAAGTATATTGACTTTGCTAATACGTTTTCTCCTTTTTTGTTATTTCTCTATTTAGGCATTCACGCAAGTCTTACCCTTTTCAAATCCTTATCACTCCAGTCATTTGGTAAATAGAAAACGAAAATGGTGCACCCGGGTTTTATTTTCTTCTTGTTGTTTTCGCTGGAGCTGGACTTTAAGAGGACCTAAAAAAAGGCGGGTGGGGGTCGACACAGATGAGATGTGCATTTTGTCCTTTTTCTTCTTTGCCGCGCCTTCCTTTTTACAGGGTGTGCTCTCCCCGAGTGCGGGGAAATCCTCACCTTGAGCCGCTTCCCTGCCTGCACTTCCACCTTGTTCATATTTGATATGGCCATTGTGGCGCTGTGGGGGTCCGTGTAAACAACAAAACCGTATCCTTTACTCGTTTTGTCATTTTTTTTGGCGACCGTGGCGCTTTCCAAATTTCCGAAGGATTTAAATTTCTTGAAAATGGGAAAAAAAAAAAAATAAAAAAAAATAAGTATCAATGCAGTTATACGTCTGTACAATGCCACACAGCCCTAAGCACATGGCCGTTTGTACTGCCGAAGGGCCATTCTCTATGATAGCAATTTCTCCCCCTTACATCGTATAAATCTTGGTCATTCCAATGGGGAGGTAGGTAAAAAACAAAGAGTGTCGTTTTTTTATTTTCAGTATTTGTCTGCAAAGGAGCAAAAAAAAAAAAAAAAAAAAAAAAAACAAGAAACACACAATTTAAATGACTGCTTTTTTTTGGAGGAATTTATTTTAACGCTTTTGGAGTGAGGGATTGTTTCCTCTCCATGTGTACATATGCATGTCCATTTTTTTTTTTTTTTCCCTTACTTGGGTTTTCTGTGTGGTTTCAATTTTCGTAGAATTCATATCCATGCACTCTTCCTGCGATTTTCTGGTAGTGACCTTCAGAACCTTTCCGCTCACTTCCTTCCCATTCATGACTTCCATAGCCTTTTGGCACGCCTCGCCGTCGTGAAACTGGATATAGGCGTACATGTTTATGTCCTTTTCTATTACGACATTGTTTATTGTTCCGAAAATCATGAAGTTCTTGGGAGTTTGTGTGTGGGGGGGGAAACGCATATGTGTATATATGCATACATATGTACGAATAATCCTGCGCGTACGGCGACACATAGAACAGTGTGCCAAATGAGCTCATAATCTATGCACGCGGCAGCCCATTTGGTCCCGTCCATTTCTGGTTCTTACTTTTTTTATGTCATTTTCCATCCATTCACTTGGAAAATTATACACAAATATGCTGTTCGATTGGAAGTTTTTATTCCATTCCATTCTGTTTTCCTGCAGGATGTAAGGGCAATGGGGTAAAGGGCAATGTAAATGGGAGCAGCTATATAAGGGTGTAACGATTTTGTGTGAACGTCTCCTCAGCGGGCTAGGCATCCTATGCAGCGTATGCAGCCTATTCATATATTTAACTATGTGGCATGCGATTTGTTCTTCGTTTTTTCGTTTGCTTCATGCCACGATTAGTTAGGCCGCAGCACGAAGCGCGCGCTCCGCCATTGCAGTCGTTGTCGCTGTGACTGCCACTATCGCTGTCGTAGTTCTCACTCAGCTGTTACCAAATCTGCCAAGATGTAGTATGGTATAATTTATTTGAAAGTAGAAAAAATTGGGGATTACGAAGGTATCACTAAAAAAAAAAAAAAAAATTTAGAAGCTTTAAATTATCATTAAATAACGACTGGGGGATATACTCTTGAAGGAGAAATTATTCACGGGCAGGCATATACATAAAGGAGCATGTTTTTTTTAACTAAACTCCTTCAGCGCTACTACGCTTTTTTTCTCTGTACTTCACAGCTATATATATTAATACATACATATATGCAGATTCATACTACGCGCGGTCAATGCGCGGCGAACAAACACTACTGTGCTGGTAACACGCGTATAAAGATACGTACGTACATATGTATATGTAAATATAAACCTTCCTTCGGCTTCTTTGGTAACGCGTTCACTAGCGCTAATCACGTTGCCATTTCTTGTGGCGCTATTTCGAAGCTACTCTGGAGTTTTATTTTGCAGTTCCTTTGTAGCTCTTTTGTTTCGTTTCCTTTTAATTATGCGCTACGCCGCTTTGTAAACAGCTTGAATTAAAGGGGGGAAGGAAGAAAAAACGTGCCCGCGGGGGTCACACAGAATAGAAGGTTCGTAAATCAGCGAACGGGCAAATTGAAAAAACGACAAATGGGCAAAGGCACAAATAGGGCGGGATGATTTATTTTTATCTGTTAAAAGTACGTCATTGGTTGTACAGCATTATTCGTACGTCGTTAGTTCCTATATCAGGTAAATGGTATTCCGTAAAGGTTGTATTCAATAAAAGTTGTATTCCATAAAAGTTGTATGCCATAAACTTGTACGTCGTAAGTTTGCATATCGTAAAAACATTAATTGCACGTATCCGAAGCATTAATCAGTAGATAAAAAAAAAAAAAAAAGGATCAAACGGAAGAATGAAACGCAGGGGTAGTGAATCAATCATTGAATTAATAATCTGAAAGCGAGATAAACAAAAAAGGAGGAAATCAAGCTAATGCAAATGAAGCATTTTTGAAATGCACCTTTTTTTACATTTTAAATGCTCCTCTTTTCTTTTTATAGGAAAAAAAAAAAAAAAAGAGATTGAGCAAAATGTATCTTAACACAATACATGCTGGAGCGCACAAGTGGGAACGTTGCATCGTCTGTATTATAGCTGCATAAAGTTTAGTACATCCATTAGATTTTCATTCTTTGAATTGCATATATTTTTTCTGCGACCATGTTATAAAACATACCGCGCAGTTTTTTTGCTGAGGGCGCGACAAATTGGTGGTGTGTTCTGCATTTTTTATGACGCTCTCGTTTCTGCTGCGTAGCAAAAGTTTCTGTTGGTCGGCAGGGGGGAGACGCTCATTCATTTTGCGATTTCACAATTTCGATCTTCTAAACGGGTAGGTAACGTGTATTTGTTTATGTCCGCCAAACTGGCAGCATGAGCCATTGGCTCGTTCGAAAAATGCAAAAGGGAACGGCGGACATGCTGCGAACGAAAGAAGCCATAGTGTGCTAGGCACGAAGAAATATTGAAGGGGGACCCTTCTTTAGTGCCTCTTGTTGTTACGTGTTCATATGTTTAGGGTTAACGCAAGGGTGTTCGCTTTCAAGCGCAAGGTGGGAATAGATATTTACAAATGTACACCTCCGTACTGGCACACGTGAGTGGCTAATTCGAACAAGTATATGGTCCATGCGTGAGAACAAACGCTTGAAAGGATGGAGGGAAAAAATAAGAAAGAGCATCACATCAGACAAGAAGAAATTGGGAGAAGGGGGTCTCAGGTGACGGGCCATGTAGCGAGGGGAAAAATCCTACAGCGATCGCTTAGGATGTGGTGCGCTACGGGGTATATATATGTGTTCACCGCCTGCCATGTACATAAGGCAAGAAACCCCCTTGGGCTGTGGTTTACACTATTTGCCATTTTGAGTCTGAACCTCATGGCACGGGTAAAGTCGTAACATGTGAAGGAAGCATCGTGCAGATATGCTGCCACAAAGGGGCTATATAAACTGCTTGTTGAGAACCCTCTTGCATGTGCTTAGGTCATCCCCGCAAAAAAGGAACAAAAAAGGAACAAAAAAAAAAAAAAAAAAATTCACCTCAATGTGATGACAGTGACAGGTTAATTAAAGGGATGTGCGTCTGTTGATGCGCCACAATTTGAGGCACTCCTTTGGGGAAGAGGCAAACTGGTTAAGCCTGTTCCAGCTGCCAACGCACTGGGCGAGAAAAAAAAAGCAAATTAGAGTACAGGAAAATACCGTAGAAGGGGAAACTTACGAGGTTTTCCCCGTGGACGCTTGTCGCCACGGAATGGTGCCAAAAGGGTCATCACTTCTCCCGTCATCGACCAATCGAAAAGTGCTTCGCATTGTAGTTGTGAATGCAGGTTGTACGCGGCTCGTTAATACACCACTCGTACCAGATTTTGTGGTTATCGGTCAGGCGCCAGATGCTTATAGACAACGTCTGGCCTTGTTCCAGAAACAAAATCTGATTTATGGGGATATATAAAGGGTACCAGCTGTGTAAATTCTTCGTATGTGTATTAGGCTCGATGGACAAGTAGACATCCTGGTACAGCTGGCTTTTAAAATAGCATAAAAATCCATGCAAGTAGGAGGTCAAATTAATAGTAAATTTTAAACGTTTGTAACGATTATTGTGCGAGTTATCCTTTTGGATTTTTCTGTTGGGGGTTTGGAAAGTGAAGCATTCTGCCGGTTCATCCTCCGAAATTTTGCAGTAGGAGTACATATTGACAATGTAGAATATTTCATTATATCCTGTGAAATTATTTTGCCCTATTCTGTGGTAAATGTGAGAGCAAGAAATGGGCTCCATGTAGGACACACAATTTTGCGGAATGCTAACCCCATCCTCCTGAAGATACTTTTGTATTCCATCTAAACATTCTGGAAATAATTCATTATCTCCAAAGGATCCTAACAATTCACTTACGATTAAATCTGCCTTCTTCTCCATTTGGAGATACCTCATATCGCTATGTATTACGTGAACTTGTTTCCACTTAGGGGTAGTAGCCCTATTTCGCAACACCAAAATGGCACTATCATTTTTTTCTATTGCGTAGATTTGAAATTTAGAGATTTTATTTTTTTCCAGAGCTTGCAGGGTACAGTCCACTAATGGTCCTCTTCCTGCACCGACGACGAAGATGATGATGTCTCTGTCTCTTCCCTTCACATTGTTATCTCCCCCCCCTTTTTTTTGTAGTTCCACGGAGAGGTACTTACTAATGGCCAGTTCATACTGCTCATACTTGGTTCTATCCTTTTCGAAGATCTCGTACGTTTGGGAAGGTAAATTATCCTTCAAGGGTTGCAAAGGGATCTGCAAATAGTCCCAATAGGCACTATCAAAAAGGGTTTCGTTATCGAAATTTTCAATAGACATAAAAAGCCTTTTTAAGTAATAAATACAGCACTTGAGGTAGCTCACATCGGAATGAAGGGCACCGCTACTGTACATTTCTTCCTTCTTCACGCCATTCAGCGAGGGGTACTCATTTTTGCCTCTTCCTGTTAAGACAATTTCGATATTTTTTCTAAAAAAGTACACTAACAGGTCTTTTAACTTCTTCGCTAGATAAGGATAACCTGTCTTGGAATCAATGGTAAATACGTTTAGCGGTAGGAGGATTAATTTCACTGGTTCGGATTTCCACACGTCTAGGTTGATTCTATAAATGTCAACATTTTGAACGTTCACTAATTCTATACCTACGCTCAAATTGGAAAAATTATGATTACAGTAGGGGGTAAAATTTGCCCATAAATTCCAGCCATTGAGAGTTTCGTAGGAAGATTCCCCCCCTCCAGGGGTACTCAGAGGGGAAGATGAGCCTCCCCCTGGGGGGCTATCCACAAGTGCCTTCCCTTTTACCCGTATTGCTAGCGGCACTTTCACAATGATAGACACCCCATTGTAGCTGTGAATATTGGCATTGATGCATCTGGCGTAATTATCGCACTTTCTGTGAGACGGAGGATTAACAATTAGATGTGATATGGATATATAACTGGCCCACTGCATTTCTTTGTTTAGGGCGTCGCGAGAGTATGCGCTTAGATGCTCGCTTTCATTATCTGGATCAACCCACTCGGAGGTGAAGCCGTAGATGTTTTGCTTCCAAATGTCGTTATCTTCAAATTTGTCACCGAAAAGGGGATCTACCTTATATGTGTTCAAGCTTGCGCATGGTGAAGCGGCGCAGTTAGGAGCGGCGCAGATAGGAGGACAGTCAGAAGCGCAGTTAGACGCGCTGTGAGAATCGTTCAGCAATTTTCTGTGGCTCTGGCTTCCACTAAACAGCTTGGTTACGAGGAAATCTGGACTCAACTCCTCTATCTCGTGGTAGTCCCCAGCGCTGTAGTCATACTCTATCCCAATTTTTAAAACCCCGTACTTGTTCTTCAGCGGCATTTTGTTCACCCAGCCACTTCGTAAAAGTCGTTAAGTATATTCCGTCCTCTTCAAATGCGGCTGTCGTTTCGCTGGGCGTATGTAGGCACGGGGCGGTTGAGTCAAGCCGCGGTTGGGTCATATACGCGGTATATTTATTGTTCGAACTTTATTACGTGTATCTTTCTACCGTTTGGGGAAAAATCGGGAAAAGGCGACGCTCGCAGGGGCTCCCTCTTCACATCTACATTTTAGCGAAAAACAACCTGGATGTAGCCACTTCTTTTTAACTGCATAGATATGTGCCCTGCTGGAAATCTTCTCTTTTTCACAAATTGGGAATATGGTAAACCGCGTTGAGGAGAGGGTTACGGTCAGCACTTCTTGCGAAGTGGGGTCCGCCTTGAATGCCTCATTCCGATCCGATTAGCGTTAAACGAAGTTTTAAAGCAACAACGGGGAGAGAAAGGTCGCCTAGATGCTCTGAAAAAGGGCACAAAACATACATAGATAGGCATAGATCTCGATATAATTTTTTTTTACTTAACCCTGCCAGTGCCTTGACAACGCATGAGTGAAGTGCTCACAAATTGGGGGTGAATCTGACGTCGTTATGTTCTGACCCAGTTGCAGGTGAGTACAAGTATCTACATAAGTTGGCCATGTAGCAAACATTGTTAAGCCTTCTTTCAGGGGACATACTTTTGGTGCCAATTAGGCCTCTTTAACAGCTTTCCCAATAAAGTAATCCCACCCCTGGACACATGCCCTTCACAAAGAGTTAAGAAACTGTTTATGGCAATTTAGAGGCTGGCCCCTGTGCAGTCACAAATGTTGGTCCATCTGATTTGTCATAATTCGAATTAATAACACCGTAATGGAATTTTTTTTTTTCCTTTAAAAAATGAGAAACTGTATGGGTAGCATTAAATTGTAGGTAAGACTACGAAATATAAATTGGAGGGAAAATAGTCCTTTTTTGTAGGCAGACATAGTGTACTGAAATACAGTTAACAGAAAACCGAAGGGTTAGAAAATGCCAGATTCAAATTGGGACTCCCACAAACAGTACATAATAAGGTGTCACATGAAATTATTATGTAATGCCTTTAACGCGATAGCTTTTTTTTTTTTTCCTTTAACTAGTTGGAAAAGAAATAACGCGGAACACATTTATTACAACTATGTGGGTGCAGTTGTGTGCAAACTGGATAATATGGGTCAGTTTGCGACATGGGGCTCATAAGTGTGGGAGACAAAGTGGTTTGCGTGTTTATAGTAAGGAAGTATTTTCTTTTGCGATGCTTTCACTTGTGAATAATTAGATGCCATTAGGATTGGCAAAAATGTGAGTTACAAAAAAACTGCGTTTTTTTTTTGTTCCATCTAGGAGGGTAGCAAAATTCCCGACCCCTTTAATGGGATGTCTTTTTTTTTTTTTTTCGTGTTTGTGTTTAGGGGTGCCCGGTGGGGCTCAAATTTAAGAATGCCCCTGTTACCGTCTTCTCCGTGATGCGGCGAAATTATCACGTAAAAGGTTGCGTTCCCTAGTGTGATTGCCAAGCGGGCCTACATATGGTGATGTCAATGCATTGGTGGCATTGGAGAGAAGTGTGAATGTTTTGGTGTTTGTCCTGGGAGTATTCGCGCTCTCTACAGCGACACCTCGAGACGGATACCTTGCAACCCCTTCCTCCGCTGCACCTTTGTCAACAGATTTAGAAGACCCATTTCGATGGGTCATATTTCATCTGGTGCACTTGCAAATGACGCCTAAGACGGGCCTTTATAGGAGTATTTTTTTTTTTTTGTCCCTTATCTCTTCTTCTTTCTTATCCCAATTTCGCCTGTGTCTTTCTACGGATTTTTCCCCTCTCGACTACTGAACTTCATTTCCAAAATATAGAAATGAACTGTTTTACTTTCAGGAAAATTGGCACCTTTGCTTAATTCGTGATGAGGGGCGTGGTTTTACATGGAGTACATTTGTCTACGCTGATTAAGCATGCGAACCGTTTTTAAGATGCATTAGGAGTGTACCTGTAGTGGTTCGACTTGTTCGAAACGGCGTGATACATAGGCAAATATAAAAGTGAGAGATCTCCTTTGACATTTCGTGGGAACCTCTTGGAGGAACCACATACGAATCAATGATAAACGCGATTGTCCTTTTCATTTACACGAGGGCCAAATGTACCAATTTGACTCTTACGAGGTGACGTACTCTCGAAACATTTCGCGGTTAAACTATTGCATAGCCGTTTTAATCTTTATTTCCCGCGCCCGTGAGTGTGAATGAAGCGCTTGATTCACCACGCATAGCCCCAAACGCGGGTGTAATTTTGCGACAACGCAAATGGGGAAGTGGTTAAGGGGGGCGAAAAAAAAAGGAAAATAAAAGCAAAAATTAAGTCAAAGTATGTCAACAGTGTCAAAACAATTTATGTAAACAAATGGAACGAATAAAACTGTGACACATTAAGGCAATGCCACAGGTGTAGGGCGAAAAAGTTGTAAATGCCAAATGGTAAATAATAAAATGCCAAATGGTAAATAATAAAATGCCAAATGGCAAATGCGTTCACCTTGTTAAATTTGTATATATACTGCGTACATTTGCCGCTACCTTTCTTACCTTTCGAGAGCGGGTGTGGGGAAAAGTGAACCATCCCGCGGGCCATTGCGAAGCAGAGGAGCGAGGGGACAAAAACAAAACAAAAGGAAGGAAGTTAAGCGAAACGGCGAGAAATAGGGTCACCAGCATGCGGCCATGCCCCTAACGCAAAAATGTCCACATGGATATACGTATAACGTGTACAGCCTACCCATACGTGTACAAAGTGTATACGTGTATAACTGAATACGTTTATAACTATATACTGCGTAACTGTATACGCTCATGGGTTTGGTGAAGTCCACCTTAGAATGAAGTTTCGCGAAAAACGAAATGTACTCGCTCCTGTTTGAACAACAAAAGGCGCAGTAACGCAGAATGATATTTTTATTTTTTCCTGGCCACTCCTTCCCCCGGCGAAGGAAGTGCGACCATGTTGACCCTCACATACGTACACAAAGAATATAATCTATTATATGCCTATGCCATGCAGTTATATGTATGATGCCCCAGTGCAGCATAAGGAAGGCGGCCAAGAAACTGCTGCGAAAAAAGCGAACGCATTTTTGCGCTCCGCCTATGAAGTGTACAATATACAGTACATAATGCGAAATACATAATATGTAGTATGTGATATGTACTATGTAATATGTAACACGTAACATGTAATGTATATTATGTGCACGTGTTGAGGCAGTTTTATGCGATCCCTCCTTGCGCGTTGAGGTGACGTGCAATGATACTACCCTAGTTACGTAGCTGTGTTTATCCACATGGCGAAAGAGGAGTGCCTGCCCCCTCCCCCAACCAAGTTGAGCGAGATTTGTGTCACTTGCCGGCATGGTACACTCTGATGTACCAAACGGGAGTGGGTGGCGCTACGTCTGGCAAGTTCGCAGCTTCGCCTTTTCACCTACGCCAAGCGAGCATGTGCTTATCCACCTAAATACATATATTCGTGATATACATTCATGTAATCGGAGCGGGCGTATTGCAGTTGGCAATGGCACTAAGGTACGCAGTGCTGATATATATTTTTTTTTTTCCATATTCCTAAAAATTAAATGCGCATAGTCATATATGATACATTACGCAGAGCACGCGAAAACGCTTTAATGAAGGCGAGGAAGGAATTGGTATAAGGGAAGAGAAAAAGAAAAAAAAAAAAAAGGAAGAACAGGAAGAACAGGAAGAGTAGGAGAAACAGGAAAAACGGGAAAAACAGCATATACATAAAACACTACCATATAATAACCATCGTACCAGTTAGGGGAAAATATAATTACCTAATTAACCACAAATCATCACACGCAGGTAGCACTTGCGAAACTATAGCGGCCTCGGAAAAGAAAAAGAGAGAGAGAGAGGAAAAAAATATATTTGCAAAGTGTACTACTCCGCGTGTGCTTATGCATACAGGAACATCACGCTGGGCGTACAAGTGGGGAGAATGCACTCCATTTGTGATGGTTAATGCAACTACGCAATGAACCAAGTGCACATACCATTTTGACTCTTGCACTGGTTCGAAGCATATACACGTGCATGCGATGACCCTTGTGGGTTCTTCCCGTCTGCACATACCCCCATTTTGCGTATGAAGAACCGCACTCCTTGTGACTCTTGCCCTCCCGCTGACGCTCTGTCCGCGCGAAAGTTGAAAGAGCCCATTTGTTTGTGAGGCAAGCGAAACTGTAAGGCAGTCGGATCTGTAAGGCAGTCGGATCTGTAAGGCAGTCGGATCTGTAAGGCAGTCGGATCTGTAAGGCAGTCGGATCTGTAAGGCAGCCGAATTTGTAAAGGACGCGAATTACTTCCCCTTTTTCCCCACCTTTTACATCCACGTTTGAAGATAAAATGCAGCCATATGACTATAACAGAGGGGGAAACAACTACAACAGCAATAGTAACAACAACAACAATAACAGCGGTGGTGGCAATGCGGGGAACTATAGTAACAACCCGGGCAACGTAAACAAGCCCATGAACAACCCCTTCTTTTACAACAATAACAGCGGTAGTACTGCCGACATGGCAAACAAGGGTAGTGGAAATATGAAGGCAAATGAAGGGCCCTACCCCCCAAATTATTATCACCCCCCGCAAGAAATGCAACCAGGAATATACGGAATGAATAAGGGCAATATGGGTGGCCCTCCCCTAAGTGATAATATGTACGGAGATGGAAGCAACCCCAATGCGTATTTAAGTAATCAAGGTCAGTACCGAGGGGTGGCAAGTCAGTTCGTGCCAGTAATGAATAATAACAATGCATTAAAACCAGGAGGAAATGTCCTGGGGTATGACAGCACAGGAGGTGGGCATGTAAATAGTGTCCAGCCTATAATCAACGATACGTATCAGGAATTTTTACAATTTAATGCTTTTTCTCATTTTGTTAAAAGCT